AACTGTAGATAATTGTAATGTGATGGGAAGAAGTCTTCAAAGGGCTTTTCTCTACTTGGGTGAGAAGCCAGCTCGGTGACACAGTTCTGCTTACAACTGAGGACCTGGACATAATGATCTGAAAGGCATCCAAGATGAGAAATGACTAGAAAGTCACACTTTCAGGGTTCAAATTCTGATTATGATGGACAAGTTCAAGTGGAAACAATTTTCAGCCAGATTCTCAGACTTAGGAATTTAGGAAGGAATGAGGCTGCAGTTGCTTTGTAGGTATCATCAAAATAAGCTTTTAGCCTGGGAGGCTTTTAGCCCAGAGGTGGATGCAGAGCTGCACGCACCTGTGATGGCCTGGAAAAGGTCAGCATTGTAGTCTAGGTAGTTGTAGCCATCATAGTCATAGGGCCCCTCGCAGAGGGCACGGCACTCTTCGTCAGCCACAAAGTACTCCTGTAGTGCCAACTCCAGGTGGAGCACAGCTTCCTGCGGCTGCTCTTCTGAGTATAGTCGAACTCCTAGCCGGAACTCATGCTACTGGGAGGAAGGAGCACTCAAACTCATGCTATAGGGGAACTCCCGAGCCTAGCCCTCAGCCATCATCACCTGGGTCCAAATTCTTACTCCTCAGTTGTGGATGGAAAGGGGTGACTTGGGTGACTGCTACATAATAAAGGCCATTTGTTTTGGTTTTTGACACAGGGTCTGGCAGTCATTCAGGCCAGCCTTGAACTCCCTATGTAGCCCAGGCTGAGTTCAAATCTGAGATCCTCCTGCCTCAGCCTCCGGAGGGGATTATAGGTGTGTGCAACTACACCTGGCTCATGAACATCTTTTGTAACTGGGCTCTACATGTTCCTCTTGAAATTTACAAACATTTAACTTTTAATCTGGATGAAAGATTTATATGAGTTCATTATAATTTTTCTGTAGTTTTCTGTAGGTAGTGAGGATTCAACCTAAGGCCTCACACATGCTAGGCAAGCACTCTGTTACTGAGCATCATCCCCAGCCCCACAACAAACTTTGAAAAGTCATTCTGGCACTGGGGATGTAATTTCCTAACCCCATGGTGGGGATGGAATATGTGTCATTTTGATTCCGGTAGTGTTTCTAATATTCTCTTTTTTTCCTTTGGTGTTGGACTGGACCCAGGGCCTTGTGCATGCTAAGCATGTGCTCTACCACTGAGCTCCACACGCCCCCAGCCTAATTTTCCTATTTGTAAACTACTAAAATGTAAGAGAACATAAGAATGTTAGGTCAAAGGATGATGAAAAATAAATGTACAATGTAACACCAAATTAGACTTAAGAAATTAGATTATGGAAGACTTAAAAAAACAGGGCAAAATATCAATTACTAGTCTTCTTCAGAGGGGAGTATTATCAATGATTACTTTGCTTTATACTTCGCTATATTTTTTAACGGTGTACTATGAACATTTACTACTTCTGTCATCAGAAAACAATCCTAGTAAATGTCACTTTAAAAAGAGAGAGAGAGAAGGGGACAAAGTCTTTTTCACCATGTGGGGTTTGGCCTCAAGATCCTTGAAGTCGGCCTCCTTCACTCCGGACATAGTTTGGTAGTAGTCCAGGTTCTGCTGCATCTCCATGTGTTCAGGATTACCCACAAAGAAGGTGTGTGCTGCAGCTACAGCTTTCTCCAGCTTGTTTATCTAAGGACGGAGCACAGAATATCACTCTTACATCCAAACTTGGAAGGCTTGCATCCACACATGCAGTCCGTGATAAATGGGAAATCCCAGCCTCCCTAAGCCTTTCTGAGCTTTCAGTCAGTTTGCCTAGGCACTGGCAGCCCCAGCAAACACACTAGTAATGGAACCACAAGCTGGGCCAGTAGGAGCTTGCACCTCTGCAGCTCTTTCCCCAGTCAGCCTTAAGGCCTACCCAAATTACAGAAAGTAAAATGCTTTAGTGGTGCAAAGTTCTACCTTCAAACAAAGGGCATATTTTAGGGGGAGCTATGAAGACTAGCTACACAGGTAATAGAGTCTTAACATTTAAAGGTAGTTACTAAGTTGAAGAAAGTTTAAAGCTTCAAGGATTCAGGAGTAAGGAAGAGCAGATGACAAATAAACTGCGCTAAGAATTTTCCTAGAAAACTTCTTTCCTGCATAAAATACAATCAAGAGTTTTTGACACATTCAGGGCAAAGGTGGATGGCTGAAAAATTTCAAGGTCCTTTACAAAAGCCAGATATATTTTCTGACTCAAAGCCCAGGGCTCAAGAAGTTAAAATAAATGTCAATCAAAGGAAATCTAAGGGGGAAAATGTGCTACAGGCTACAATAATGCTCATCCACAGCAAGAGACTCCAGTATATCAAAATAATATAGCTTCATATATAGGACCCAAAATAAATCACCAAAGATCCAATGTGCTCTGGTGTTGGATAGACTAGCAACACATCTAGGTTTAATGGCCCACTTTCTGTGATTTATATCTGCCCTCCAATTCAGTTCCCTAGTCTGTTACCTGGAGGTAGCACTCACTGCCTGTCTCATGGGATTGTGGAGGGGTTCAAAGAGATGACAGACATGTGGCTTTGAACACAGGGTGCCTTGCTCAACAAAGAAAGTGCTCAATAAATCAGAGCTGGTATACCTGATGTGCTAAGAATTTTTATTTTATTTTATCATCAGTACTAGTAAAAGCACACTAAAGGATTTGCATGGCTCGGTGATTCAAGGTAAATTATCTCTGACCCTTAGTTTCTAACTGTAGAATTAGAAATTCTCTCATCTGTCCTTTTATGGATTTACTCTCCCTTAACTTTCAATACTGCTCCTTTCTAAATTCTTCCCTCCCTTCCTCTTTCCCCAAACTGTTACCCCCGAGGCAGTAGGCACCTAATTTCCTTCTCTCAGATGGAGAGAGGCACAGGTTTCCTAATTCTAATTGTTTTTGCTGCTACTGCTTTCTCCCTCCCAGGCTTATTCTATGGCATCCAGAAATAGCACCATCAAACCCAATTTGGATGATGAGCTGCCTGAATCCTGTTGAATTCTCTTCCGAATCTGGCCCTGCTAGACTTTCTAGTCTCCTCTCCTGCTGTTCTCCACACACAACCCAGTAACCCAGTCACAGCTAACAGACTCCTTTCCTGCTTGGGTTCCACTTTCCCTCCTTCTGGAATGGCCACCCTTTGTCTCCCAAGCAGTATGTTGTTAGGACAGACATGCAGTCACCTCTTTTCTCAAGCCTAATATCTGGGAGATGAAGCTGGATCCTCCTTCCTTTGTGTTCCCAGTCCTATCTACACTACAGCGATTCTTAGCAACAAAGAAAGAAACAAGAGTAAGCATTTAATCACCTGTGTAAGGACTGGTATGTAGGATTCAATAAATGTCAGTCAAAGAATTTTAAGTGGCGCTGTTAAGTGATAAGACCAAAGCCATAGCACAGTTGTTCTGTACCAAAAAAAAAAAAAAAAAAAGCCAGTACTCTTCCAAAGTTACCAGGAGAAATGGTGGGGAACGGTACAAGCAGAATGCTCTTGCAGGGGTGGAAATCTGGGATCCCCAAGAGACTCAAAGTCTCTCTTTAGGTCGAACTGAAGGTCTGTTAAACCATGGACATAACAGATACCCAGCACGGCTCCTTTTTTTGCCCCCTTAAATAAAATGGTACTGATAGTGTGGCGTCCACCTCACAAGACGCCGCGAGAGTCTGGGTAAATGAGTTAATAAACACAAAGTGCCTAAAACAGTGCCGTGGAAATACAAGCTGGCCACTACCATCACCACACAAGCCAAGGCGGTCCAAATCTATTTGTACACTTGGACTTACGGCACAGTGGCATTCCTAAAAACACTCATTTTCTTTGGAAACTGACTAGCCAAAGGGTCCCCACAGGGAGGAGCAAGGCAGCCCCTGCCGGCGACGTGGCAATCCCACGTCTGAAACAGTGCTGCTGGACTCTGCAGCAGGAAAAGCATCACTAGAGAATGAACCGGAAGGAAGATCTGTAGAGAGCCTCTAGCTTCTCACTTGGACACTTACATTGAAATCAGAATGGGAGACCCAACCCACCGCTTTACTTCTCTCTAGGAGGTCTCCGGGGAACAAAAGATCAAGTTTTTCTTGGCCGGGACCCTAACTAACCTCAGGCCGAGTCCTTGGAGCTAGCAACTGCCCTACCGGACCAGCCGGGCAGGTCTCCAGCCAGATACCCTGCTCTCCCTGCGTCCGAGAGCTCCCCAGACACCCTCCCTCTCTGCAGACTTTTCCCTGCTACCCTCTCAGTCCCCCGGGTCGACGGCAAGCACTGTCTCCGAAGGACCCCGACGGCCCGGCTCCGGGCAGATCTGCACCTTGAAGTAGGCGACCTGCAGGTAGTTGTAGGGGCTCCGCTTGCGGAACTCCAGCTCCAGCTCCTCACTGAGCGCGTGGGGGGCCGGCGGCCCGAGGCAGCGGCGCAGGCAGGCGGCTCGGCGCAACAGGCCCCCGAAGAAGCGCAGGTCGTGCAGCGCGGCGGCGCCCGGGTCCGCGGGAAGGCTCGGGGCCGAGCCGGGATCCAGCTCCCACGGCAGGTCCGCGGCACACTGGGTGCGGCAGCGCAGGCGGAGGGCGCGCAGGGCGGCCCGCGAGCGCAGCGCACGCTCCATACTCAGCACCACCCCGGCCCAGTCCCCGCGCGCGTAGGCCGCCGTCCCCTCGGCGAAGAGCAGGTCGGGCGCCGCCATGTCCCACCCGGCCTCCGACTCGATCTCAGTCTGGGCGGCGGCGTCCGCGGCCGCCAGCAGTGTGGTCAGCAGCCTCCACACACGCGCCGCCATCGCCTCCGCAGACCTAACAGGACCGCTCGCTCACCCGGCGAAACCCTGCTCCGGAGGGGAAACCCACCTCCCACTCGGGGCGGTGCAGGCCCAGGAGGCTTGCCCCGCCTCTTTCCTTTCAACCAATCCGGACTCCGCTCCTCAGTAGGACCCTGTGCGTCCGCTGGAACCGAGACTCAAAACGCAGGCTGGTTGGGTTGCTCTGGCGCCCATTGGCTTGGGAACACGGAAGCCCCGCCCACCAGTTTTGTACGCACGCTCTTCTGGCCGGCACGGCCCGGGGCCAGGCGCTGCTATGGACTGTGCTGAGGTCCCCGGGCAGGCAGAGGGAGGTGTGGAAAGTCGAGGAGTTCCAGCAGAGGCTGGTCAGGGAGGTATGCGGGGCGGAGGTCGGCCGGGGTCAAGAAGCCGCCGTCGAGCTGCTTAGCCTCGGGGGCTGCGCGGGAGGCCGAGGGGGGAGCTCACGGCCTGTGTTTCCGCTGTGTGTCGCAGGAGCCCTGCTGGAGCGCACGCCGACCCCCGGCGGCTTGGCCCTGGTGAGCCCCTATCACACCCACCGGGTCGGGGACCCGCTGGACCTCGTGGCGCTCGCAGAGCAGGTCCAGAAGGTGAGCGGGCGCGGCTGGGCTGGGGAAGCGATTAGCTGTCTACGTTCGCGGGGAACTGCATAACGCTTTCCATATTTGTTATTTCATTTGCACCTTAGGACAACCCTGTGAGGTAGGCAGTACGGAAGGGTTTGCAATTACACATGAAAATCACTCTAACTAAAAATTTTCCGGATGTGTAGTCCACTCATTTTAAGCTGCTTCTCAGAAGAGCTTTATCTATTACATGGAGCTTGTAGAATTTAAAACGTCTAGGAGGGAGAGGACTCTGCAATTTTGTACTGTGTCCTCATTGATCGAACACAGTCTTCCTAAAACGAGAGGTTAGACATTGATTGCCTAAATTGGTAAAATAAAGAGGAAATGAAAAATTACAGAAAATGCTCTGGACATTTGGACACATAAATCTTAGTGCCACGTTTGACATTAGCTTCAGGCAATTTCTCTCAGGGCTCAGTTTTATCTGTAAAATGAACAGTTTGAAGTAGGAGAGCTCCTCACCTTAAGTGAAAAATCAAATCTTTTCTTTGTTTTTTTTGGTGCTGGGGGTCGAACTCCGGACCCGGCCCCTCCCCTACTTTTAATAAATGTGAAACCTTGCTACCATTTGTATCTTCTAATTTTCATTGTAAGACCCATCCTTGATTTTAGAAGTGTTTAAACATGAGAAAACGAAAGAGAGATCTGAGAAATGCATGGAGTTAGGCAGAGAACAAGGGAATAATGTATTAGGTGGAGGGGAGGGCATATTCAATATATTTGGTAGCAAGAGAGAACAGGGCGTGGTGGAGGACTAAACAAGTTTAATTTGACTAGAATTCAGAGTGAAAAGGGTGGAAAGTAAGGGAATTAGACAAGGAGGAGGACATAATTCTGTGGTATGAGGTCATGTCAGTGTGGGCTTCTCACAAATTTTGACCTGGGCCTTGGAGTGAGTAGAAATTCCCATGGCAGTAGTGAGACTGGGAAGAATACTTAAGGTGTCAGTAAAGATGTTGATATTATTCTCCACGTTGAATCTAAATAAGAACATCATAGAAGTCTTATCCTTTTTCACCCCAGTTTGGTTTTCTTTCACTTGTAGGCGGATGAATTCATCCGAGCAAATGCTACCAGCAAGTTGTCAGTCATAGCTGAACAAGTCCAACATTTGCAAGAACAAGCCAGAAAGGTAAGGAAAAACTTTCAGGTAGGCTTTCATTTTCTTCCTTTAGTTCACAGAATCGGCCAAACTTGCTTATAAACATTATAGCTTATTTGTATTCAGTACCTTCTAGAAATGTAAAGGTTTTAAATAAAATAGGAGTGAACCTAAGAGGTTATATTAGTCTCTTTTGTTCCTGTGATGAAATGCCTGAGGCAGGCTAACTTTATAAAGAAAAGGTTTATTTAGCTCACAGTTTTAGAGGTTCAAGGGCATGATGCTGGTATGATCAGCTCTGGGGAGAGCCTGCGTTTCTGCATGTAGTTAATAGCAGGCACACGTGTAGGAGGAGAGATCACACCTCCACGCCGAAAGCCAGAGAGAGGTCAAGTTTTTGTAACAACATGCTCTTGCTCATGCTGAGGCTCTCCTATCCCAAGAACTCCCACTAGGAGAACAGTATTCCCTCCCAAGGGCAGTGCCCCCAGTGAGCGAAGGGCTTCCCACTAGGCCACACATCTCCTTTAGCTTTAGCTTTCACATCATCACACAGGGGTGCTCGAACTCCAAACTCCCAGGACATGACCCTTTGGGGGACAAGCAGCATCTAAATTGTAATGGAGGTTAAGTATAAGTTTCTGTTTTTGTTTTCCTCCACACTGGGAATCAAATTTATGACCTCAGCCCTTTCAAAATTTTTAAAATTTTGAGACAGCATTTTGCTAAGTTGCTAATTGCCTCAGCCTGCCAGAGTGCTGGGAAATATGAGGGGTGTTTGTTTGTTTTTCCAGGAGAAAGTTCAATAAGATAAAACCTTTTAAGGAAAAAAATGTTTTCATTCGTAAAAGAAATATACTTAGCATAGGGAAAAAAAAAAAGAAACTTAAGAATCACCCAAGCCAGTGATGTTCAACACTTTGAAATACAATTTTTCTAAAAGCATTTTTCAGCATAGTAGCATTCATCTAATTTTTATTTCTTCAGAATCATCTGGATCCTGGTAATGATCGATTGCTGTCAGGGAGCAAGATCCTAAGCATTGAACAGTTTCCAAGTTCTCATTGGGATGATCCCCAGTACGAGGGCTGTTACTTCCATTCCTTTATGTGTTACACCCTTGTGGTTCGCAGGTTCTGGAGGATGCCCACAGAGATGCTGACTTGCACCACATAGCTTGTAACATGGTGAAAAAACCTGGCAATATTTATTATCTTTATCAACGGGAGAGTGGCCAGCGATACTTTTCCATTATTTCTCCAAAGGTGAGGACATTTATTCTTTGCCCCAAAAATCTGCTCCCATCTTTGAGAAATTCTTGGCATATGTATATGAAAATAGCCATGTAGATTGTTAAATGGTTTCCTAGAAAATTGAGGGTGGTGTAAGCTAGACATAACTCTAAAAAAATGCAGGTATGTTTTAACATGTTCCTGCTGGCTTGAACCGCGGGTAGTACATTTGTGACTGTCCCATGACACCCAGTGGGATAGTCATGCTTGTACCACCACTGGTGGTTCAAACCCATCTAGCAACGAGACGTATGAATTACAGCCCCATTGTGAATATGTTAAATTATTTCGTTGATTTTCTCTGAAGAGAGGGATCTGATGTATAGTGTGACCACCTTCCAAGGATGCTTCTGACTAGTCTGAAGCAAAAAGCCAAAAAGAAATATGTGGCATACATAGGAAAAACACTGTTTGTTTACATCCTACTCTGTTCAGAACAAACTCCTTTGCCTTCTCTAGGAATGGGGAGCAAGTTGTCCACATGACTTCCTTGGTGCCTATAAACTACAGCATGATTTATCCTGGACTCCATATGAGGACATTGAGAAGCAAGAAGCTAAAATCAGCATAATGGACAAGCTGCTAAACCAGCCAGTGGCCCTGCCCCCATGCACTGAACCCATTTTCCAGGGACTGAGTCACTGAGTGTGGACTATGACCAGCAGCTCTCATAAAGGCCTGAACGTCACCTCCTTGTTGCCCTTATTCTCTAACTTGGTGGAAGCAGTCATGAGAACTGAGGACACATAGGTGAATCTTGGGATGATGCCCTGTGAATGTAAATCTTGTTGTTGTTACTGCTTTTAATTAAGCTGATAAGGAATCGCAGCACTCTTTTGGGGGATCCTCTCAGGGCCACTGATAACCAGCGAGTTTCAGAGGACTGGCCAGTCAACTTTCCTTCTTCATCTCCAGCTATTCTCTTAAGCCAAAGTGTTAGAGAAGACTCTTCTTCCCACAGAAAGGTTGGTGGATCATTTTCCAGAGGACTTGTTTTTAGTTTTGTTTCAGATTAGGGTTGAGCTTCTTCACAATTGGTGCACCTGCAGCTTCAGATTCATCTGGTAACCAGAATGTTGGATATTGGGGATGATTAAAAAGAAAAGAATATAAATGGCTACATAAGAGTGTATGGTGGTTCTGGAGTGTCTGTTGCTGCTCAGGTCTGGCTTGCCTTTCTGCCCATTCTCATAGTGAGAGTGACTGGAGAAGCAGAGGCAGCAGCAAAGGCCGGGCTCAGGAAGGTCCCTTCTAAACTCACACAGTTTCAGAATTGGAAGAGGTACAGAAGGCTGCCACAAACTGTTGCATGAATTTGCTCTGTAGCCTCGTTGAGGGAGAGATCCTGAGTTCAGCTACCCAAGCAGATCAAATCCATTAAATGGCAACTTGAGATATTGTGCAAGAGAATATAGAGCAGTGGCAGTAAGAAACAAGGAAAATAGCCAACCTGTTGATTATGAGTTATTATAGATTGAAAGTCATTTTGACCAAAATAATTCAAGAACTGTACAGGGACTGTTGGACTAATTTATTCTAATTCTGATTCTGACTGGGTTCTTATAAGACTATATTTTATATCCTATTTGTTCAGCAGAATTAACTACATTTATAGCATCCATCATGGCTGTGTTTCCTTCAGTGCTATATTACCTATTATAATATGTAAAAGAAGTAAGAGATGTATACTCGAGCCCAGAATTGGCCAAGTTCCTTTCTGGGGATGGGTGTTTCTCACGCTGATCTATTTCATAATATCCTACCTGTATCCTAGAAGCTGCAGTATTTGGGAGCTATGAATGGTTCCCCTACAGCCTGACATAGGAGAAGGGCTTGAATCTACCAAGATCACACATGTTATACCTGTTACTGCGTTCACACAGGGATATCTTGTGTAATCAGCTGCAGAAGCCTTTTGCTGGGATCCTGCAGAGCTGGGGGGAAGAGATATTAGTAGTTGATTCTGACTATAGAAAGTTTCTCAGATTTTTAGAAGGTTCTGACCTATATAGTAATGACACATTTTGAGCAGATGCTCAGTTATCAAATAAACATATTGCCCTAAATTTAGGGGTTTAACACTACACATACTTAATATTTCACGGTTTTGTAGGCCAAGAGTTCAAGCACAATTTTCCTGGGTCTTCTGCTTCAGGGTTTCTCTGACACCCTGCAAGACTGGAGTTGTTATTGGCTGAGGCTAAGTTCTCCAGGCTTTCCTGGGAGGGAGTTGCTTCCAAGATCACTTATATTGTTGGCAGAGGTTCAGTTCCTCAAGAGTTGTTGGACAGAGGGCCTTCCTTCACTAGCTGGTAGCTGCCAAAGGTCACCGCAGCTCCTTGGCACATGAACATCCATAACATGGCCACTTCTGTCATCAAAGTTGACAAGGGTGACAGTCTGCTAGTGGGACAGAAGTTAGAATCTTATATAGTCTAATCACAGAAGTGACATCTTACCACCTTTGTTATAAGCAAGTCACTAGGTAAGCCCACATACAAGGGAGGGAACTTCACAAGGGCATGAATACCAGTGTCTCCCAGGCAGCAGAGCCCCTTTGGCCAGCCAAGGCCTTGGCTTTACAGAGCTCAGACATTATCAGAAGATACACACTGATGAGGCCCTTGGTGCTGTTCATATGCTAAATTTTTGTTAGAAACGTTATAAAGCAAAGAGCTTTTTTTTTTTTTTTTTTTTTTAAAGGAAATTGGCTTTCCAGACATGAGGCACTGATTGTCATATAAAAGCTTCTTTCCAGGGCCAGGGATTTAGCTCAGTGGCACCATGCCTGCCTGGCAAGTGTGAGGTCCTGATTTTGATCCCTAGTACTGCAAAAAGGGAAAAAAAAAAAGCCTCTCTAGTATGAAGGTCCCCAGGCAGGAAAAGATTATTTAGAGACTGTCTAGTGATGACAGGTCTCATGCCCCCCATTACATACATCTCTCCCTTGGACAGTGCTTGATGAGCAAAGACTGCTAGGACAGTCCACCTGTCTGTTGCTAACTCAGGATTGGTTGCTGTATCTGAGTTACCACTTTTGCTGGCAGAAGTTGGTATATTAGCTTTCTAGGAACCTTATTTTAGCAGATAACCCAGAGGTTGGATAGAGGGAAGACCATTAGCTTTCATCTTTAATCCAGGAAAGAGACATGGCAGTCCAAACACAGTGGTGGTGGAACAAGAGTTGCTGTATTTCATCAGCTGTAAGATGTACTTTTCTTCCTCCACATTATAGCATTTTTGGATCCTGGATGCTTCTAAAAGTCAATGACATGTCACAGTGGAAAATGGCAACATTTCATTTCCCTCCCTCCCTTCCTTCCCTTCTTTCTTCTCTTTTATAGTCAGTGTTGTCATTGTTTTACAGACCCTGTGCCCAGGGCTGACTTCTAATAGATCACTGTAAGGGAGCTGCTCTGCTGCATGGGGAACCTGAGCCTAAAGCAGGTCACCTAGGAATGGTTTAGCACCAGGCTCCTAGAGACACGTACTGCATAATGCACAAGAGGGGAGCTTTTTTCTGTCCACATCCTATTTCCCAGGTGCTTTTTAAAAGTTTTCTTACAGCTACATAAAATAATGGTGTATTGCCAGGCATGGTGGAGCACCCCTGTAATCCTAGCACTTAGGGGGGCTGAGGCAAGAGGAGCACCATGAGTTCAAGGCCAACTTGGGCTACATAATGAGTTCAAAGCTAGCTTGAACCACGTAGTGAGACCCTGTCTCAAAAAAAGAAAAAAAAAAGTGTATCTTGCAATGGATAACAGATTTGATGAAGCATGACATTTTAGAAGAACAATAGGTTGATACCTTGTGAACTAATAGAATGGGGAGATAAGAGAGAGGAAAGAATCTTAGATAGTGCTTGGATTCCTGCCTTGAATATCTGCATGGGTTTGCTCAACAAAATATGGAAGAAGAAGATATTCTTGATATTTTCCAGGATAATTAGTGATGTGTATTTGCTTCATTAATACTCCTTCTTGCTGGCCCTGCCCAGACTCACTGGTGCAAGAGCTGATTGTAGCTCTCTTTTCTACCACATGGATCTGGAAGAAAGGCTTGCTTGTATCCTTCTCAAGTCATTATCAGTCCACAAACATTGAGAGTTTTGGTGCTGTAGATACAAAGATGGTAAATACTGTCTAGTGAGCTTTAATTCTACCAAGTGTATTCCTTTGTCTCTTAATTGTCACAAACTTCTTGCCCCTAGGGTGGGATATGTGGTATTCCTAATGTACAGAGTGAGAGCATCTATTTAGACTCAGAAACTGGCCCGTGGTTGTACAAATAAATAATAGAGGTCAGATTCAAACACAGCCCTGTTTGATTCAGTCCAGCCATAACCTTAATTATATTTTGGCCTAGTAAGATAGTCCTAGAGAGCTATAAAGAAATTACATTACATAGTGATAGACTGAGATGTGTATTATGAGATACTATGGGAATGGTTTCACTTAAAAGTTTAGTGATCAGCATGTAGAAAAGGTGTACCCTGGCTCAGAGAAATTAAGCTGTTTCCCTGAGTGACGCAACTCATAAGCAATTGAGCCCATGTCTCTGGCATTGAAGCCCGTGTGGAAAGCCTGTGTGCAGAAGATAGGGTTTCTTTCTTCCTTTAAGGAACAGGAGCTTAGAAGGAAGGAGCTACTAAGTGTCTAGAGATATTAAACTTTTGTATTTTTTTGCATTTGATTTGATGGATCACTTCTTAGTTGAAAGCTTTTTCATTTTGGTTTGGAATATTATCATATCCTACTTTTCTTCTACTTCATTGACCACTTTTTCTGCATCCTCATTCTCTTCTTAGTGCACTTTGGGGCCAAGACCTAAGTCCTTTCCTTTTTCTCCCTACTGGGTTGTTTAATCCATTCCCATCCAAGTGTTGCTGACTCACGCGTATGTCTCCTGATTAACCCCTGAGTTCACACACTTGTTTGTCCAGCAGCCTTACTTGACATTTCTATTTTTAATCATACTCATTACAAATTTAAGTGTCCACCACTAAACTCTTGAGTTCACTTCAAAAACCTGTTTCACCCCCGTGACCAATTTCCAGGTCTTCTGTACTCTGCCTTAGGAATACATCCCAATTCTGACTGCTTCTTAACACCTCCATTCCTGTTTCCTGGGCCCAAGCTACCAACATCTCTAGCCTGGACTAAGGCACTAATCCTAACCTCCCACTTAGGTTTCTGCTGGCTTTGAGTCTGTTTCCACAGAGACTGTCAGCATCATCTTTTAACACTGTTTAGAAATATCCCAAGAGTTTCTCACTACCCTTAGCATAAAATCCAGGCTTCTTGCTAAGGTTCCAAGTGATCTACCACTTCAGTATTCAACATATTTCTGCTGTATCAGCCTTGACTTCTTCCCACACACCAAGTGCCTCATGTCAGGACCTCACATTTGCTGTTCTGTTTGGATATTGGCTTTGAGATCTTTGCATAGTTTATGTCTTCTCACTTAGGTTTTTGCTCAAATGTCACTTCTCTGATTACCTTATCAGAAATACCCACTCTTCTCACCCCAGAATAACTTCGGATCCTTTGTTTTCCCTTGCACTTACTACAACCAGAGATGACTTGTTTTTCTCCTTTCCCTCATACTTAAATCAAAATTCTAGGAGAACTGCCACCATGCCTGCTGTGTGTACTTCTGGCTCTCTAGCACCTCATGTAGTGCCTGGCACGTAGTAGGTAGTGCAATAATGAGCTAGTGAACATCTGGAGCTCCGCATTTATATCCTGCAAAGAGTAACTGCATGCAGCTAAGGAATAGAATGTGAGCACATGTGTGATTTAATACTTTCCACTAGCCACATTGAAAAAGTGAAAAGAGATATGTGAAATTAACTTGGATAATTTATCTAAAAATATATCTAAAATATTGATATTTCAACTAATACTAAAAATATTTACATTCTCTCTTTTTTTAAACTAAGAACTCAAATTCTGGTGTGTATTTTACACTTAGAGCCCATCTGAATTCAGACTAACCAGGTGACCAGCACTCCATAGCCACATGAGGCTAGTGGCTGCCATATTGGTACAAGGGTAGGTGGCCTAACTGCATTGTTCTTGTTCTCTATTTCTGGAGGATTCTGAATGACAGGAAGATGGAAGCTTATGGCAGGGGGAACAAGGTCTTTCTCAGCTACCCATTTCCTTTCTCCTGAAGAAGCTGTGAGAATGTCCTGGCTTATAGATATATATCATCATATCCTTAGAAAAAATGATGATGACTAAGGTATTGTGTGCCAAACACTGTATAATCCCATTTAACTGGTCACAAATCCCATTTTACAGATTCGGAAACAGGGTCAGATAAGCAATATAACTTGTTCAAGTGTACATGTCAGGTGTTAGAGCTAGAACATAAAATTGGCTTAAAATGAAAGGTGCTATCATAACCATTATGCTACAGTTTTTAGTATAATACAGAGAAATGGAGAGAAGCACTAAAGGACAGAAAGGATTTGGCCTAACTCTTGGGCTTAGTTTTGTGTCACACCTTTGCCTCAATCTGGGTCTTCTTTTCAGTTTCTTAGATACCTTAGGTCTGACTTTAGTGTCACACTATTTCTAGGTCTCAGCCCGGCTAATTTATTTATTTTATTTATACATTTATTTATTTTTGTGCTGGGAACTGAACCCAGGGCTTTGTGCATGTTGGACAAATGCTCTACCATGGAGCTACACCCCCAGCCCAGCCCTACTAATTATTATTGGCATAATTATCAGCAGAATTCACTACCTGATACATTGTTTCCTCTTCTGTGGAAAGGAATGCTGATACCAGCCTCAGGGCCAGTCCAAGATCCAGTGAGATGAGGCTGGTGTTATAGCAGCTAAGGACAGTGCCAGCCGCCTGATAGCCTCACAGGATGTGCCGGGTCCTGTAGACCTCTTCCTTTGCTGATTACAAAGTGTCTTCAGCTCCTAATTCCATTCCTGCCCGGAGTGTATTGCATTGTGGTGTCCTGTGGCTCTTGCTCCCGCAGTTTTTAGTTATAGGGTAGGCTAGTATCTGAGGGGTAGAGGAGGCCAGGACCCTACCTCAGAATTGGTGCCCGCAGTCTTACTCACTACTGGACCATCTTTCCACAACACACTGTCCATCCCACTAACGAATATGGACACCTGTGGGATGCTCTTGCCTCCTCAGCCTCCCTCATGCCTGAGATTTCACTTCACAATGGCCACGTCCCACTCCCTCTGTGGCCCTTGCCTACCTGCCTGGCATGCAGCATCACAGATCTTCCTCCCAGGGGCTGACAGACGCCCTCTCTGGAGCAGGTCACATCCCAGCTTAAAAATTTTGCCTTCAAGATTGTTTTTTTTTACACCAGAGATCAAACTCAGGACCTCGTGCTTGCAAGGCAGGCGCAGAGCCACTGAGCTAAATCCCTGGCTCCACATTCTTGGCTTTTCATCCATCTCACAAGTTATTACTGTAGGCCTAAGCCATTCTTACAGGCACAAAGAGCAGCAGCGAACCAAATACACAAAAAGCCTGCCCACTTGGAGCTGACCTAGGGTCGCTTCACAAGGGGACCCCAGCCTCACTTTACAGCCCCCCACCGATGCCACCCACGAATTCTACCAGCCTCGCCGAGATGGAGACGACAACCACCCCATCCCCCACCCCCCCACTGTGGCCTGAGCATTTGGGCCGGCAGCCCCTCCCTGCTCCGGGGATTGTGAGCTAAGAGCCGATAGTGAGCCTGGCTCCGCCTGGAGCGACGCGCCCTCTTCTGGGCTGCTTCCCTCCACCGCACCGCACAGGCCGGGAAGGAGTGTGAGCCCGTCCCCACCCAAGAATGTCTCCTCCACAGGTGAGCATGCGCCACAGCGCTGTCCCAGCGCCGACCCCCGCCAGGTCTCTGGGCTCTAGGAAGGTGGTGGGCTCAGGGAGGGGAGTGGGGGAGTGTAGCTCGGGGGAGGGGGGCCGCGTCGGTGCGTGGGCCCCCACCCCCACTCCGCCCTGCCTCACTCCCTCACGGGCAGAGGACCCAGTGCCTGCTGCTGGCATCGCGCCATTCCTCCTTGCTCACTTCCCTCCTCCACTTCTGGGCCTCATCATGGGTTTTTAGTCCCCAGCCTGTCCCCCAGGCCACCCTCCGCTCCTCCCTAACATCTCACCGCCTGCCTGCCACATCTGCACTTGCGCCACCTGTGGCCTCTGCCAAGTTCACTGAAGTCCCCCAGCCTTCCTGGGAGGCATCCTCCTCACCGAGCTTTTGCACCTGCAATTCTCTTTGCCAAGAATGCTGCCCCCAGACCCCCTCACTCATCCCAAAGACCCTGGTAAACGTGAACATATTGGTGAAGCCTTCCTCTGCCCCACCCCACATTTAGTCTCTTCTCCCTCAGTGCACTCCTGGCAGCTGGGACAAGCTTATCCAACACAATACTGTCTCTGCAACCCTGTCTCTCCTTCCGGATTCTAGCTTCTTGAGAGTGCCACCTGTGTCTTGTTCTTCTCTCTGTCCCCCAAACACTCAAGGCCTGTCACAGAGCAGACATAAGAAAAAATTAAATTAGAAAGATGCCGGGCCTGGTGACAAAAGCCTGTAACTCCAGCACTTGGGGAGCTGAGGCAGGAGGACTGCAAGTTGAAGGCCAGCCTGGCCTACACAGTGAGACCTTGTCTCAAAAGAAAAAAAGAATACAAAGAAGATCAGAAGAATGTGCTGGGTTTGTTGAAAGGGCTGGGTTGTTGAGAGTTCATCTAAGGAGACCACACTGAACAGGGTTAGAAGCTGGGTAGACAAGATTTAGTGCAGGAGTGGGGATATAGCTGAATGGTAGAGTGCTTGCCTAGCATACACAAGGCCCTGAGTTCAACAGACATTGAACATCTTCTATTGTAGGCTTCATGCTGGGCACAGGGGACCCCGGTCTGCACTCAGGCATCCATCGTAGCAAAGGAGGACGACAAGGTAGGCAGTGCCAGTTCAGAGTGCCAGATGTCACACGGTAAGCACAGGAGATGCGACCTGATGGAGGAGGAGCACCTGCAGGCTCCAGAAACTTCCCAAGGCAGGAGGTGGGGTTCTGAGAAAGGGCTGGGGTGCTGGAGAGGGAGCTGGAGAACTGAGCAGGGCTGGTGGCCACGTGCAGGAGATGGACTCCGTCCTGAGGGCATTGGAGAAGCTGGAATACGACTGGATCTGCTGCTGCAGGCCAAGGCAGGCAAAGCCTCAGCTCCAACCTCTCCAACCCACCCCCCCATGATAAGCCCCTCTTGTCTGCTCCCCCATGGGCTCAGCATGTCTCCTCTCTTGCTCAGGGATGGATGCCCCTGCCTGCCTGTTCTCCTTGAGAGAGGACTCCAGGTCTTAATCTTTATGTGCCAAGCAGCAAGCACCAGATCTTGCTCATGAACAGATGTTTGCCAAATGAGTGGATGGATAGTCCTTATTTCTGTGGATTTCCACAGTCCTTGCTTTCAAGTTCACATCCTGTCACACTTGGAACCTGTGCATTACGCTTACAAACTGCATTTAGTTGGGAAAGAGGAGACCCTATCAAAGTCCTGGCTCTACTATTTACTGAGACAAGTCACTTAACCATCCTGAAACCTCAGTTTCCCCATCTGTAAAGTGAGGTGCTACCATACATAGAGTCTCTAAGTCTCTATGTCCATGAGAGAGTCTCATTTCCTGGGACAGGCAGTAGGTTCCTTGAAGGCAGGGACCCAGGGTTCTCCCAGCCCCTAGCTCAGGCTGAGCATGTAAGCAATACAATTTTCAGTCCTGTCGATTGGTGGACAGCAGAGAACGCAGAAAAAAACACCAAAGGCAAAGCTGTCAAGTCTTGTTCTGCCACGCCCCATGTGGCCTTGAGTTAGGTAATCTTTCCTTCTCTGAGTGTGCTTTGCCTTACTCTGAAGTAGGGACAATAACCCTTGCCTGGCAGAGCTCACAAGGCCAGGGGAAATGCTAGGTATGATAGTGCTTTGTGAATGGAGGAGATAATGAAAGACATGATATAGCAGATAATTGATCATTAATTAAAAATAAAATAGCAATGCCTGGCCATTGGAAGAGTGACTCTGGGTACCTGCTTTCAGACTGTGAGAGGCAGAGACATTGGGATGCTGTTCTACCAGGAGACAGTGGGCTGGGCTGGCAAGTGAGGAGGTGCCTGGCTCAGGGACATGGGTTACCTGCTTTGCTGAGGTCACTCCTGAATCCCAGGAGAGATAACTATAGGAGGTTTGTGGAGAGGATTATGCACCCAGTGCTTTGCCCCCTTCCCTCCAGCTCGCTCAAGCCTGTACTGTTTTCTGTTGTAGGTTTTGATGGGCCCTGGAATAAGAAGGTCTTGTTAGTCCTGATAGCGTTGGCCACACAGCTGTTGATTCCCTCTGGTGAATGAGGCTGCCTATGGGAGCAGTGAGCCCTGCCATGGTGCCCTGAGAAAGTCCAGTCCCAAGCCCAAGTCTAGCATGACTTATCTCAACTCTTGCTCAGACCAGAAGGGCCTGAGGCTGTAGAGAGGGCTATCTGGGGACACAGCCCAAGCTTCTAGAATGGATGAGCTTCAAATTAGAAAACAGACAGGAGAATACCGTGGAACATGTACAGTTCATGCAAGTGCAGTATTACTATATGTGGCTGGTATGTTTACCCAACCAGCATGGCTTCTCTATCTTAGATAGGACTGGACCTCTGTCTCACAATCAGCTTATGTGTAAAGAGTATACATGTGTAGAGTAAAGACAGAGACCAGACAGGCTGTGAAGGTGGGGAGGGCAGGATGGTTTCCTGCTGCTGTGAGGGTCTGGGAGGCCACGGAGGCAGGGCATGGCCTGGCCCTGCAAGACAGGTAGACTGAGCTCCTTCACTGTCCTGTCCTCCAAACCTTCTCTGGATGGGATCTATCCCCCGGCAGAACCAGTACCAGATTTAGGACCAAGAGGCAGGATTTGGTTCTGTTCACTTAACATGTGACTTTGAGCAAATATTTCCATGACTCTGAACTTTAGATAATTCCTTATCCATAAAGTGGGGGAAGAATGACAGCCCCATCTCCTGAGGTGATCCTGGCCAGAAGTGAGGACATAGTGAGAAGTGCCTGGTAAACCATTGATTGCTGTGCATATTGTACCTTTTGTGCCCTCCCCTGTTGGAAATGGACCTGCTCTCCTGATTGGGATCTGTCAGAATTAGGGCCTTGGGCACCTCAGCCACAGCCCTAGGCCTGAGAGAATAATGTTGGCCAGTGGGACAAAGGGGACTCTGTCCTCTCTCAAGCCATCCCTTACTCTATGACAAAGTCTTATCTCAGATGCAGGCCAGGGGTGCACTAGGAGAGTCAGCTGTGGACTGGGGATGTCTATGCTACAGGACAGGGATGAGTTAGAGTGGGAACTATGGTTGTGTGAGTTTACCCCAACCTGCTCTGCTACTGAGCTTTCCTAAGACTCCCTGTCTTCAACACATTTGTCTTCACCTCATGCATTGCCTTCATCTGCCTTCTATTGTCCCTGGTTAGCTAAAGAAACAATGTAGGGAAGGTGCAGTTCTGAGATGCAGTTCATGGGCACAGGCAGTACCAGGTCCCTAGGAAACTCTCTGGGTCTCCCTGACCTTGGAAACCCCTTGCCCCTCTCTCCTGGGCCCCAGGCCAGTGCAGCAATTTCTCCCTGTGCCATGACCAGAACCACCTCAAGATAAATGAATTTCCCTGGAAGGATGTTGCCAATGCCTTGTCCCTGGGTAACATGGTCCTGGGGCTCTTCTCCATCTTTTGCAGCTTCAGCAGGTAGGTCTAGGCCCCAGCAGGCTCTTAGCCAACAGCTGGGGACTATAGCATGAGGGAAGAGGGGGGGAATCTAGAGAGTTGGGTGCCATGGCACAGGGATCAGCTGGCAGTAGGGGAACGTGCAGGGGCTTACAAGTCAGGGGCTAAGATCCTAGGTCACGTCCTTGAGCCTCAATTTCTCCTTTTGTAAAAAAAGGTGCTTGCATCATGATCTCTATTGTACCTTTAGTTATGGCACCGTAGAATGGTTTGTATGAGAAAGTGAAGAGATTCTGTCCACTGTTTATATTTTCTGATTCTTAAATCAGAATATATTGCTCGTGAACTAGCACAAACAATCAACAAGTGGGATCTCTTCTTATTAAAAGGCTTCTGCACAGCAAGAGAAACCACCAGC